GCTCATCACTCTCTGCTTTTTGTGGCAGCCTGCTCATCTTTCTTTCTTTTTTTTTTTTTTTATTTGTTTCTTTTTTTAGCTAGAGCTTTCCAGATTTCACCCTCTCGCAATTAATTTGATCACAGCCCTCCAGGCCTTGCTAAGGAAGGATGGAGCTGCTCTTCCCCCATCCCCAAGGCATCCAACCGCTCTTTCCTGCCCCCTTGTTCATGCTGGTAGCACTCAAAGTCTGAAAACCACGTGCACAACATTAACAAAATCAGCTCACTTTGCTCTTCCACAGGGCTAAATCAAAGCAATCAGGCCCTGCCCAAACCCCCAGGCTGCCTCCCCCAGCGTATGCCACAGCTTTCCTCTTACCTTTGCCATTTCCACCAGGGATGGCCCAAACTCATAACACTGGCAGAAGGAGGAACCCACTCATCTGCCAGCCCGGCACCCTGTGTTACACACGCACCATGTGTGCTGCCCCTGGGAATCTTAACAGCCCATATTGTACTGCGAGACTACGGAAAAAACCCCTTCGGCTCCACGACACTTGGAGTTGCACATTATCGCAAAGCCTTGGAAAGGTTCGTAATGTACGTGGTGCTGCCGAGGAAAGGGAGGCACAGCGAGAGCAGCTTGACACCGCTCTAGGATATCGCTCTGCGACAAGAAATCAGCATATCAAAATGCTTTTACACATCACAGCCCTGGCCAACTCAGAACAGCGATTCATTAACCTCAAACACCCCCAGCTAAGCAGAGCTCCTAATACAATAAGTTTACCCCAATTAATTGGGGAAGGAAAGGAAAGTCACGGTCCAGGACCGGGTTTGAAGACTGATTCGTGCACATCAGCTTCCCATTAACGCTACAGGGAAACTGGTATGAAAGTCACCCGTGAAGGGTCTGTCCTGACCGACCCGGCGAGGCAGCCTCTACCAAGCTGACCCTTAGCTAAAGCTGCTATGAGAAGTCTCAGATAAATCTTAAATGACAGCTTGAGGAAGAGATTAGGTTCAGAAATGATTAAGTGTGGGTTCCTTATTTTTAGGTTTGCTTTTTGTATTTATTTCCAAGTACATAATAAATTATTTAACACTTCGGTTTGCTAAAATAAAATAAGACTTAGAATAAAGATTAAAACATAAACTTTAAGCTAGTATTCCAGACAAGCTGTACAGGTGCCTGAAGCTGTGATAAGCGGGGCAGTCTCAGAGGCTGAAGCTTGGCCTTTCGTTGCACATCTGTTTGAAGCCTGGTACTATTGCACGCTGCCAAAAGGGGGTGGCATTACGGGGGCTGTAACATCATCTTTCTGCTGACCACTGATGACTCTAACCCCAAAGACGGAGGAAGAAATTAAAGCTCTGCTTGAATTCACCCTGCCCTGCAGTTAACGTTTGAGCAGCACAGCGTGACCCTGCAAAGCTGCGAGATGCAGCATGGTCAGAGACACGAGGGACAGTGCCACGGACGACAGGCCCCAACTCCTCAGCTGGCTTCGAAAGGCAGGACATGGCATTTGCAGACACCCACATCCCAGTAACTGCAGACAGACTCCTCCAAGCTTCTGGCTGCTTCGGTAATTAATTGCAATTTGAACTGAGATCTGACCCATGCCTTTGCTAATCCTAAATTAATCAGGTTTTTCCTCTTTTTGTAACTGCAGTTGTGTGAGCAAGTAACAAATCTTGCTAATTGCGAGGAAAATGGTTCATTCGCCTTACGCTAATCCGGCTGGAACAGCGCCAGAGCCAGCCCAGCCAAAAGGCCCAGATACTCCAGGGCAGCACCCCAGATCCATCAGGCTGGACCCCAGCATGCCTGGAGACGTTATGGCCCTGAAGCTGCTGGAGGATTTAACATTGAAAGGACGCAGCATATGCAGGACAGTTTGCACGACCCCCCCTTTAAGCTTATTAGAAGCACATTAAGAGCAGAGGCCAGCTGGCTCTTCTAGCTGGTTACAGACAGGGTTTCTCCGGCTTAGCAGTAAGCGTGCTTTGCCACAGAGCCACATCCGGCATCTCCACCCTCCCAGCCCGAGACATTTAACATTTGGTCATTTATCAGCTGTACCTATTGAAAGAAGAAAGCCCAGCTGTGCTTGCTGATGCAAAAGCATCAAATAGCAGAGCAGGGCTAACAGCCTGCCTGGTCAACAGGTAGCCAGCACAAGCTGCAGTTTGGCTCCCCGAGACCCAGCTCTTCCAGGGCTGATGGGTGAGATTTGCCCAGTGTATCAGGAAGCACCGAGGAGCTCTGCAGCAAGCAGAGCAGGCGTTAAGATGGCAAACCCTGGCTCCAAAAGAGCGTCTGCAAGATGAGCACACCCCAGGCACGTGCAGGGCTGCAAGGGCCCTGCCAGGTGTGAGGATGGTGCCCCCCTGCCAAGGCAGCCATGCTATGGAGTCCCTTTTGTAACCGGATCCGTACTGCACTCCATGCAGGGGCTGGGATTCTGCCTCTTGCCGCACAAACTGGAAGGCCATTGAGAAACACACAGGCTACTCGTGGTGCAAGCACCTCTAAAATACACGTTCCTGCAGTACCAAGCCCTCCTCTAACATGGTTTATCCTGGGGCATTGTTTGCTGAAGCAGTGTTAAAACATGTCCAGACCACCCCAGGTCCCTGGGCAGCACACAGCTTAACCACAGTCCCTCGACAGCGTGAGCTACTGTGTTACTGGCCCACCAGCTTGGATAAAGATGAATTATGCTGCATCTGGAACAACAAAGGCCATCAGGACATTTCTGCTGCAACCCCACCACCAATTCACCCTTCAACTTCCAACTGTCTGGAGCACCACAACTTTGGGCATCAAAGCCAGAATTGCTGAAATAGGGCATCGTGTCTGCCCCGACTCAGCATCTCCAAGGGAGAGGTTGGGGCTGGGGTAGCCATGAACTTCTCTCCCACAGTCTGGTTCTTTCTCCTCCCTGCAGCACCCTCCACTCGAAGCAGAAAACTGGAACGGTTTCACGTTGGTATTTTTGGCAGTCTGTTTTTAAGAGCCTGCTGTGATGCATGGAAATGAGTAAAGGCCACAGAATGCCCCAAATAATCGTTACATGTTAAGATCAGAAAAATATTATTGTATCTTTCTTCTCTGTGTTAAACACACCAGGTGAAAAACTGAGCTTGAGAAGGGGTGCTGCAAAATATTCCTGGGTAATAAGACACAATAGGCATGGACATATTGTGTACCTGTACCTGGCAGGACACACAAGCACTTCCCATGGGAAGACATTATCCATGGCTCATTGCAGTGCCTGGTTCTTGCTTGGCATGACCCATCTACACCCCCGGCACTACCCCTGTACCGGCGAGTCTGCTATCAGGAGAGAAGAAAAATATTTTCATGCATTTCACATCTTCCCCATGCTCCAGAGAGCAATGCCCCATGGTTGGAAGAGGCAGACAACAACCAGCTCTGCTCCCAGCCTGGCTCTGAAGCCAGGGTGACCAGCTCAGCCCTCCCTGCACCCTGGGAACGCAGGTGCTTACCAAGAGCCACACACCACCCGCGGTGGCCAGAGCAATGCCACGCGAGGTCTGCACAGCCCGGGAGCGAGGGTGCGGGGTGGCCGCGTGCCTGCAGCCCCTCCAGACAGCACCGCCGAGGGCAGGGACACGCCGGCTACCATAAAGCAAGCACGCACGCTGCTTAACGCGGCCATCGCTCGGATTCACCCAACTGCTGCTCCTCCGAGCACGCTGGCAGCATGCTCCAGTGCCTGCTGCACAGCTCTGCCTGCAGGCAGGGGATGGCTGGGCCTGGGCAGTGAATCACGCTGCTGCAGCCCAGCAGAGCATCTCAGCTGGGAGAAGGGGACCCAAGAACCCCCCGGCGTCAGCAGCCCCTTTTCCAGAGGAGCCTCCATAACCCCCTTCCTGAGGGCTAACACCGAGTCCCCGCAGGGTTTTTTCTCCTGCCCTTCCACCCTGCTCGCCACACACCGGCCCCGTGGGCCGCCTGCACGCACCGGTACTCACAGCCGCATCCTTCCTCTCCAGGGCTCGTCATGCCGCACAGCCCTGGCCTGCGCCACGAAACCCGCTCCAACGCCACATCGCGAAGCGCTCCAAGGCAAAGAGGAGCGCGGCCGGACACCCCCTTCCTCCCTGACATAAGTCTTCTCCCCCTGCCCAACCTGCTGCCCGCAGAGAGACCGACCCAAAGGTCCCAGGATTTGCCAAAAGGCCTTTTGGGGGGCAGCAGGGCAGAGCACCCCTGGGCACTGCTGAAGCCAGGCTGGCACATGCCTTCTCCCAGCCCGGCGTGCTGCAACCACCACAGGTCCAAGGCAGCCGCCGCCGCCTGGTCCCAGCCGAGCGGCTCTGCCAAGCGCAACAAACCCTCCTGCCAGCTCCCGCGCCCGCCATCCCCTCAGGATGCTCTCCAGACCAGCAGCGCTGGGGAAGTGGAAACTGGGGGGCTGCAGGATGGAGATGCAGTACAGCCCCTGTCTCTTAT